ACTGTAATTGTTCTTCAAAACAGAACACGGCTTTTAACTTGTTTGCTATGTATGCTAAAGTTTAAGTAGATTTGCAACATCCTGAGAGTTGCTAGAAGTAAGAAATAGTAAAGTAATAAGTGATAAATGTATGTTAAAATAGAGGATGTATGTGAATGGATGCTTGATTTAGATAAGGGATAAATTGATTTAGATAAAGAATGAATGGTCAGGAAAGTGCCAGCCTAAGAATTACAACTTCAGTCTCGATTGGCCGAAGAATGCGCAGACTAGAGAGAACCGGATGACCCCGAAGGGCAGGCCGGAATCCATCCAAGTGCCCCCCCGCCAATGGAGGGCTGAAGACTCCGAAGAACAAGATAACACTCAGACATTAGGGATGTGCCACCTGCTGATTGATAATCAGCTCAAACAAACATCAGCAGGATGAAGCAATTCCCATAGACTTGTATAAGGACAAAATCCTATAAGAACAGACTCTAAAGACTGAAGACTTTGAGTCTGGTTCTGCAACCACCCTCCAGGAGCATCGGATGCGCATCTGACAAGGACTCGGCTCCACCCTCGTGTGCAGGCTACCTGGCAGTACTCTGCCATGAGCAACCTCTAGGCTGGTAACTATAACAACTCTGCAGAACTTGTATGAATGAGTGTGTGAAAGAATAAGGAATGGGAGTGAAATAATATTGAATTGCATATCTTGATTTCTCGCTCTCTCTCTGTATTTACAATAAACCTGGCATTTTGCCTCATCTCTCTTATAAGATCCTGTTGGTATTATTTTATTAGTGTAACAGTATGGCTTGATTGTAGCTATACTGCCTGGGAGCACAAAGGGACCCCACAGTTGGGACAAAAGCAGAGAATCTGCACATGGCCAGTCCTGTCCTACTATGAGTCCCAAAGATCAGTAAGGTTTAGAGACAGAACAGTTGCCGTTTTGAGGGGGTGTGCAGAAAGCTGCATTATGCAAGAAAAGAGATTAAGGAAAACTGTTATATGTGTAGTAAGAGGAGGCTCTGAGATATAAACCTTGGTATCAGAGGCCTGCTATGAGGCCTAAGGCCTGAACTAAAGTAATGGTCAAGACTTTGGTAACATAAAGCAAAGTTAAGCTGTGAGCCAGAGGCAGGCCCTGCTCACAGAAGCTGGCAAGGAAAGGGCTGATGCTGCAAAAAGAGACATACCTAAAAGCTACTGAACACCAGATATCAGAACATTCGCATACTTGTACATTCCACACTCAAGGAACAAGCCGACCCATCCCAATGACAGGGGCAAAAGGGTAAAATGATGGATAGAGTTGTTTTGATCGAACCAACATGTACAAGGTGAGAGGCGGCACCTTACTACGTAGAGGGCTTGTACCTTGTTACGTAGAGGGGTAGCACCTCAATACATCAGGAGTGATGTGTAACTTGTTTGTACCTGTGTATAAGAATGTATCCCTGGGGTGGTGTCTTTGTCCGGCCGAGGGGGCAGTGGAAAGTCCCGCCACTGAGCCGGGTCCATTGCCAAGAGGCACTTTCTCGTAGTATGCCCGGTAGACTAAGTAATCTACGGGGAACTGCAATTGTGTCCAAGGTCGCAATAAACCTAGTCGACGTGACTTTGCATCTTACTAGACTCTGTGGTTATTGGGGGTTCTCTTCGGGTCTGTTGGGTCAGCTATCTGCGCAGAGCTGGGGCAGCACACAGAGGGAACACACGCACGCAGCCGAGTGATATCAACATAGGGGCCTCCTCTTACTACAATATGGAGATATACCTATCTCATAGAACTGAAAGGGACCCTGAAGGGTCATTGAGTCCAGCCCCCTGCCTTCACTACCAGGACCAAGTACTGATTTTGCCCCAGATCCCTAAGTGGCCCCCTTAAGGACTGAACTCACAACCCAGGGTTTAGCAGGCCAATTCTCAAACCACTGAGCTATCCCTCCCCACTCTTAGAGGATCTCTGCAATATCTCTCCCACTGGTATTTCTGTAGGAGGAAACAATCCAGGCTATTATTATTTGATCCTACACTCATGTCAGATAATTATACATGTATGATCAATAATAAAATAACTGGTCAAATATCAAATTCAGTCCACTACTGAAGTAATGGGGAAATTGGTTCTCTTTCACTGGCTGGATTATTTTAAAATCTAAATCTTACTCTATAATTTCCCAAGTTGTATATATTCTATTTTAGGAAATTTAAGCTTGCTAGAGAGAGTATGTAAAGTGTATCAGTGAAGACAGCCCACTCTCATTCCCCTCGCTTACTTTTTTCTTAACCGCTGACTCTCCTCTGGCTCTTTCCCCTCACGTACAAACATGCTTTAGTCTCTTCTATCTTATAAAAAACCCATCTTTGACCAGACTTGCCTCTCCAACTAATGCCCCATCTCCCTTCTTCTTTCATTTCTAAGCTCATTGATAGGGCCCTACCAAATTCATGGTCCATTTTGGTCAATTTCATGATCATAGGATTTTAAAAATCGTAAATTTCATGATTTCAGCTATTTAAGTCTGAAATTTCAGTGTTGTAATTGTAGGGGTCCTGACCCAAAGAGGAGTTGTGGAGGGGTCGCAAGGTTATTGTAGGGGGAGTTGCGGTACTGCTACCCTTACTTCTGTGCTGCTGCAGGCGGTGGCGCTGCCTTCAAAACTAGCAAATGGAGAGAGGTGGCTGCTGACCAGGAGCCCAGCTCTGAAGGCAGAGTCGCTTCCAGCAGTTGCGCAGAAATAAGGATGGCATGGTATGGTATTGCCACCGTTACTTCTGCGCTGCTGCTGGCAGGGCGATGCCTTCATAGCTGGGCATCCTGCCAACAGCTGCCGCTCTCCGGCCACCCAGTGCTGAAGGCAGCGTAGAAGTAAAGGTGGCAATACCACGACCCCCCTGCAACTCTCTTTTGGGTCAGGACCCCCAATTTGAGAAACATTGGTCTCCTCCCTGAAATCTGTATAGTATAGGGTAAAAGCACACAAAAGATCAGATTTCACGGGGGAGACCAGATTTCACAGTCTGTGATGCGTTTCTCATGGCTGTGAATTTGGTAGAGCCCTACTCATTGAACATGCTATCTGCAATCGCTGTCTCAAGCTCCTCTTCTCCAATTCCATCCTAGATCCTTGCCAATCTGGCTTCCACTCTTTGACCTTTTGCTCTGGCCTCTTCCTAGCCAAATCTCAGAACCATACTCCATCCTCATCCTCCTTGACCTGTCAGCCATCTTTAAATACAGTTTACCATGATCATCTTCTTGAAACCTTTTTCTCCCTTGGCTTCCGTGACTCTGTCCTCTCCTGGTTTTCCTCCTACCTCCCCAATAATTCTTTTAGTATGTTCTTTGGAGGATCCTCCTCATCTGCCCTCCAACTGTCTGTGGGAGTTCCACAAGGCTCTGTCTTTAGTTCCCTTCTCTTCTCTATCTATACCTTATCTCTCGGTAATCTCATCCACACACACAAGTTCAGTACCATCTCTGTGTGGATGATTCACAGATCCTCCTCTCTACTCCAGACCTGTCCCTTTTGTCCAAACTAACATCTCAGCCAGTCTCTCTGACATCTCCTCATCGAGGTTTAGCCCAAGCTCAACATAGCTAAAACAGAGCTCTTAATCTTCACCTGCAAGTCCTTCCTCCGACTCCTTTCTCAATCACTGTGGACAACATCACCATCCCACCTGTCACTTGGGCCCATAACCAAGGCATCATCTTCAACTGGGACCTCTCTCTAGGTCCTCACATGAGTGCTACATCTAAGTCTTGCAGATTCTTTCTACATAACATCTCTAAAATATGGTCTTTCCTATCCTTCCACACAGCTAACACTCTCGGCCTGGCTCTCATGATCTTGTGTCTCATCAATTACTCCATCATTATCTTCTCTGGCCTTGACAAACGCAATCTTGCCTCACTGATATCTATTCAGAATGCTGCTGCAAAGATCATTTCCCTACCCTGTTGCTTTGACCATGTCACCCTTCTCTTTGCATCCCTCTACTGTCTTCTCCTTCTCTATCAAATCAAATTTAGCTATTTGGTCTTCACTTCCGAGGCCCTTCACGACCTATCCCCGCCCTTCCTATCATTTCTCATTCAGTATCGAACGATTGACTCCTTCCTCTGATTGGCCCAAGATGCCAGCCTCCATTGCCCACTTGTTACATTTTCAAAACAAGCACCCGCATGCTTTCTCCCATGCTGCCACTCATGCTTGGGAGAATCTCCCCGCAAACATCCACAAAACTAAATCCCCCTTCAAACTCTTTTGCCAGGAAGCCTGCAAAAAATTTGACAACAACTAGGTTGCTGGCATCCTGAGACAAGAGCCTATCATGTTGACCAATATTGTCTCAGTGTATCCTTATACTCCCCCATCGGTTTGTCTGTATCCATCTGTTGTCTCTAGTCCTATACTTAGATTGTAAGCTCTTTGGGGCAGGGACTGTTTTTTGTACAGCATCTAGCACAATGAGGTACTGGTCCATGACTGGGACTCCTAGGCCCTTCTATAATATAAATAAATAATAATAATAATAATAACAACAACAATTGTAGCACTAAAGTTACAGCAAAAAAAAAAAAAACAAAACCTAACAAAACAAGAGCCTGTCCCTCTTTGGTTTCCAAACAAAGATTTTTTTTAAATAAAATTATGTATATGGACTACCCATACTTCACAGTTACAAACTGAATGTGTAGACATATATGAAATTATTATGTTTGCATGCCATCAAGGATGGTGAAGAAACCATTCATCTTTATGCAACAGTTTGCCTGTAGGCCAACAAAACTAGGAGTGGTTTAACAAAGCATAAAGCATCAGATGATTCTCAGCTGAGGGAAACACTGAATTAAGCAACAGGAATAATTTAGCCATTACTACATTTTCAAAAGATTCAAAAGTTTGAAATAGTTCTAAGAAAGTTTTATTAAAAACAAAAAACAAAACAAAACCATCTCTTTCAAGACAGAGCTCAATTGTGAAAACTATGTTGCTTACCTCCTGTCTCTGTATTATAATAGTAGGTCTGACCATCTTCACTGACTCCTTCCACCCATACTCCTGTCTAATGAAACACACAGAAAGTAAATTAGTGGAATAAATTTTAATGACTAACCAAATAATTGCTGACAAACTATAAAGATATTCAGCCCTCCAGTACTTTCCAGTCATGATAATTATGATGTTTTTAGGGCCTGCTCCAACTCATATTAAAGTTTTTGGAAAATTCCCCATTGACTCTGCTGGGAGTTAGATAGGGACCTTATAACTTAAAGTAATACATGTGCAAACATGCACACAGACACTCTACAGGTACACATATTTCACACATATATACAAATAGTTAGTTTTTAAAAATAGGATGCTCAGTAGCAATCACTGTAGTTAAGGTTGCCAAACAGTTGAAATTACAACTTAACCCATTATTATTTTCACATGCCTGTGGCTTTCCAAAACATTCACTGCTTGAGTCTCAGAGGGGTAGTTGTGTTAGTCTGTATCAGCAAAAACAACGAGGAGTCCTTGTGGCACCTTAGAGACTAACAAATAAATTTTAGTCTCTAAGGTGCCACAAGGACTCCTCATTGTTTTTGCTGCTTGAGTTGACATTTTCCATAGTTGGTTTCTGACCTAAAGTTAACAGAAAAGTTCTCAGAAAGTCTGAGAAAAATTCATCTAGCAGATTTAAAGTTTTGTGAGGGTTGGAGAAAAACAACTTGAACAAACCCTACTCCAAACTGAAAACAAAAATAAGCCAACACTTGTCTTCCTTCCTTCCAACACAGGGCTTAGCAACAATGGCTGAAGACTGAAACTTGACATGAACATAGTCCTCACTGAGGACTAAGGCATTTCCTTATTTGGAAAATATATTAATTTTCACACGGCATTAATAACAAAGTCATGACTATTTAAGAAGTGCATACTGGACATGAAATTTCCCTTAAGCTGCACACTGATCTAGCCCACAATGTTATTTTTACATTAATGTGGGATTATAATTAATCACATACACAACAGTCTTGACTTCACGCAATGCTAGACTGCATTTTTTTAAAAAGTCAAGACAATCAAAAATTAAGATTTGCTTTGTAACATTTTTGCACATACTATATATAGCAGGGGTTGGCAACCTTCGGCACATGGCCCATCAGGGTAATCCGCTGGCGGGCCACGAGGGGGGCCGTGCCTGCAGACGGTCAACGTAAACAAAATGTCTCGCGGCCCACCAGCGGATTACCCTGATGGGCCACGTGCCGAAGGTTGCCGACCCCTGCTATATAGAAATCTTCGTATATATGCTGGTGAAATGAAATCAGTTGATTCAGAGAAGAAAAACAGCCCCTTATGAACACGTTTCCTCAAGGTTTTATTTTTGTGGTTTTACAGTGCATTAGTTTACATAAGAGGAAACAAAAGAAAAATTGCTGTGCATAACTAGAAAGCGGACAACAAAAAATAGCCTGTGGCGTAACTTGGCCCTTTCTATTATAGCATGATGTATTAAAGCTATGCGATGCATTCTGGGCATGATCCAGCAGAGCACTTAAGCAGATGCTTAACTTTAAGCATGGTATGACCCAAGAACCCCTTAATGCCAACTGTCAGGGGGCTTACAGGAATATCTTGATTCTGGTATGTACATTCTGGTTCACCAAAGAATATGAATCTTGAACGAAAGCTGGAGTCACATTGGTCATTAACATCATTGTGAAATGTATGTACGGATACTATGTAAGGAGTTATACATACAGACTTCACACAAACAAAATACTTCTCTAACACACACAGACACACACACACAAAATATGTTTTTGAAGACTGTAGCAAGGCATTATTCACCAGCAGAGGTGACAAACAGGTTGTCCTCCAGCCAGGAGGTAAGATACACCTCTACCCCGATATAACGCTGTCCTCGGGAGCCAAAAAAATCTTACTGCGTTATAGGTGAAACCGCGTTATATCGAACTTGCTTTGATCCACCGGAGTGCGCAGCCCCGCCCCCCCCGAGCGCTGCTTTACCGCGTTATATCCGAATTCGTGTTATATCGGGCCGCGTTATATCGGGGTAGAGGTGTATGTATATCTCTCTGTCGGGATGTAAATTAAGTATTGCATACTAACACAATGGATGTCCACTTACATACAAAGTTAAATGTTATCAAAGAGATGTGAAGTCAACAGGGAAGCAGCACACAGGAAAAACAAGCCACATGTACCACAATGAACTTTGGAGGTATATGTAGAAGGCAAAGAAGACACCCCCACATCCTGCCCATCGGAAGTTAACGGACAGCACGTTTGCATTCAAGAAAACAAGATCACAACCAGCCTTTGTGGAAAACACTGCAGACTGGGTGAGACAAAACTTCTTTAGATAGGAGGTTAATCTGAAGAAGGAAGAAGAGCTCTGTGTAGCTCGAAAGCTTGTCTCTCTCTCATCATCAGAAGTTGGTCCAATAAAAGATATTACCTCACCCACCTTGTCTCTCTCTACATCTATCAGCATTTATATAGCTCTTACCACTATAGTAGCTAAACTTCAGTACACAGCCCTGGTTTATTACTCCACCCTGTATGTTTGTGTGAGGTCTAAACAGAAAGTTAACTTTCTGAAGTTTAGCTATAAGTTAAGAGATATATAAATGCTGATGGACATACAGAGAGACAAAGTAGGTGAGGTAATATCTTTTATTGGACCAACTTCTGTTGGTGAAAGAGAGACAAGCTTTCGAGCTACACAAAGCTCTTTCTCCTTCTTTCTTCAGGAAGTTAACTTTCTGCTGGCTGTAAAGCAAGGAGAATCTCTGAATCTAACTAGTAATCCAGCATACATACAACATGGGGAAGGCGCCATTGCTTTTAGAATTTCCTACTTCGTTTGCTTATCTTTTGTTTGCAATCTTAACACACATTATTTATTATTAGTTTTCCCATTTAATTTCCTCAGTGTAGTTTAAACAAGAAAATAACGTGCAAAATGCTGCAGAATCAACTCCATAAACTGCAACACTACCTTAGATACGCTGAAACCTTAACTCTAAAATCAGGGAGCTGAATTAAAAACACAACTGAGCAACTATATAGCTGCAAGAAATACATATATGCAGCACTGTGGAGTTCCACAAATACTACACTACATAGTTGCATAGGATTTACTGCAATTAATGTTTCAAAAAACGAATAGAAGTTATTTAATCTGCATAAAAGAAACAAGCAAAATTTTAAATTGCTTATAGGTGGAATTGCTCAGGCAAACTTAATTCTGGCATTTCTTAACTTTTGAGTGCTTGACTTTGCAACATTAACATTCTTTTAACATAGTTTTTGGGTGCATGTATACACACACACACACACACACACACACACTGCATGTATACCCTACAAATAATGTTTCCTAAAGGAGAACTAGCCACATGTAAAAAGTTTAAAACATTAGCCATTTCCAAGCAAAAGAATCTTATGAATTATTTTAAAATGTGAACATATAATTTTTTTCCTGTGTTGACTAATTTGCAAAAGGCGGAACAGGATTTGCTTGATTTTTTACAGAAAGATTCAGCTTTTTTGGCTGAAACACAGCATCAAAAGTTTGACTCCAAAAGAATAATTTTAAAAAACTTATCTGCAACTGAAAACAGGAGTTGGTAATGAAAGCTGAGTTTTAACCTTAACTGTAGGTTTCACAGCTCTATGTATTCAAGCTACAATATATTTTTCTAAGATCCACAAAACGTAGGTTGTTTGAATTCAATATTATGAATAATACATGCATGAGAGATAAGTCAATTAGGCAGCAAAAAGTTTTGTAAAGAAAGCCGTAAGAACAAAGAAGTAGTACAAATAACATTTGATTACCATTTGTGAGTTTCGAGAGTTGTCTTGAAATCCTTCAGGTTTCTCCCACTGTGATTCTTTAAACAGAAACATATTTCATTTATCATTTATAAAACCATTTCAATTTTTACTATCAACCATTATGACAAACAGTTGACTAGAACATATTGCAGTTGTGTATGCTCACCCATGCATGACTAATATATGTATTACTCATCTAAAAAGAAATCACACTGGGTCAAATTGTGATCCCCTTACTCCACTGAACAGTAACCCAAGAGTAGTTCCACTGAAGTAAGTGAGACTAAATGTGGAGTAAGGATATGACAATCTGTCCTACTATGACTTGTAAATTTCTATTGCATTATAG